GTTTAGGGTTTAGGGTTTAGCGTGAGAGACTTCGGGTTTCAGGCTCGGAGCTTAGCACAACTTTACAATGCTCATTGTGGATTCTTCCTAGGAGTTTGTCTTGTTTTCTGTTGGGATCGGGGTTTCAGGTCTGGGCTCTTAAAATTTTAGAGACCGTCAATCCCATTCTCATCAGTGCTGGGATCATCAAACTGACGACCACTGCGTCCTGCTGGGCGCTCAATGCTGTCATCTTTCGCCGCGGAAGGGAACACTTGAGCAAAGCAGGAAAGGCTTCCATCGTGAGATGAACTACAGGGAATATCAGACATAGCAGCGCAAATGCAAACTGCAAAGATATTCAAAACATCTCAAAAACACTAAAATTCTCATTGGGAATATTTCTTTCAATGATTGTTTTGAGCATGTCAGACTCAGTCACCCGCGCTCCTTCATTTTTACTGATCCCACGTCCATCTGGGAAAGTCATAATCCTAGGGTTTTGAGTTGAAGGGCCTGAGCCATAGTCACCTCCCAAGGCCAAACGAATCCTGCACCCCAGACTTGGCCCAAACCCGAATCCTTAGTCCCTGAACCCCTTCGCATCTTGGCTTCACCTTGGTTCCCCGCAGCCGCGAACTCATTTAGCTGGCAGCCCGATGCCAGCTTGAATGTAGCCTCTGTGAGTTGCGCGGACCCGACACAGAAGGGGGTTTGTCTTCGGCCTGGTTTCAGGTGTACGAGATTTACAAGGACTTTACAAGAGGGCATCAGGATGAACGCCACTGGGCTCAGGGTCTTATGAGTCTTATGGAGCCAAGCTTAGCATCTTGAGCTTCCCCCCAAACCCGGAACATCGGGACCCCGATCCGGAACAGCACCCGGAACATCCGGATCACCCCAAACCCGGGACCCCGACTCGGGACCCGGGATCCACAGCGCAAGAAACACGACATCCCCAAAGCCACCCTAAGCCCGAAGCCGAAACTCTAAACCCTATAAACCTTNNAAGCCCTAAACCCTAAACCATACGCCGAACCCACTCTCCGATGGCCGGCAACTTGCCCACTCGGCTCAAAACGCTAAGACTGCAGCCCTGAAGACGTCCAGCGCCACTTGCTGCATGCAGGATCCAGCAGGTCGGTAGTGTTCATCTACGACCGGTTTAGGGTTTAGGGAGGCCGTGTTCTTGACTTTCATTTGATCGGCACTGCACCCTACTTTTGCGATGGCCCTCTGGCCTTACCCCACGTTGCAAGCTTGAGTGCTCCGTGCTGAGGGAGCATCGGTGAGTCAGGGCATCCAATTTTTAACCCTCCCACCCCAAAGCGTATAGAATCCCATGAGAACAGGTGAATCACTTCACGGTTTCAGAATGTTGGCAAGGTCTACGAGGATGTTGATAGCAGCATCCACAATGTAGCAGATTTTGAAAATTTTCCAACCACTGTAGAAGCCTGAATAATTACCAA